CTTGCTTGTATATGGACCCCTCTAGAATTTTGTGGGAATGCAACGTGGATCCGTTGTCAGGGTCAGGATCATACTTATAGGTATAATGCTAATGTTCCTGGCTGAAAGTGATTTTCTTCAGTGTGCTCCACAGCAAAATTATTAGAAAAGAAGCACCAAGCACCATGCGAGTGTTCCCACTAACTGATACTTTGTCAGATCTCTACTTTGTTATTCATTTTAACCTCTCTGATGATATACCCACTTGTTCTTTACCTGAGAAATCTAGTAATGATGGAGCTCACTACAAGTAATTAACTATCAAATAAAATGAAATTTCCCAAATTGAAGTGGGAAAATATAACAATACCAAATAAAGAAAGGTGTTTAGCTAATATCAATGGCAAATGACCATCCAAGACACTGACAAAAATAGCAAGGACAACAATGCTATTCATTATTAGGATACAGCACAGTTCACATTTTCATTTTTGAGTGTACAGACAACGCTATTCTCTACCATCATGACAATCAGGTCAACACAGCATTTGCTGGGAGATAAGTGTATTAGTATTAAAGTACATCTACACAGGAATGCTGTTGTTCTCAGTTTACTTGAAACATGCAGGCATGATTTCCAACTCATTAGAGAAGGAAACCTAAGTGTGTGTTGGTTTTGTTTGGAGGATGCATGCACAGTACAAGTGTGTCTCATATATTAATGGAAGAAATCTTTGCTATGTTTCAAGTACCAAATATAGTGTAAGTGGCTGGTAACAATCTATTTTAAAGCAATTTCTATGAGCTCTGTAGTTGGCCAGGAAACTAAACGATGGCACAGGGTAGAAAAGGGAATTTAAGAGGTTGTACATTGTGGCCAAGTCTGTTTTCAGAGACAAAAAAACTTGGTAGAGAAATGAACACACAGAAAGCCTAATGTCCAAAGGACAGTAGGAATAAAGCAGCCCCCAGGAAAAACGTATGAGTGCATGGATAAGAGAACAATTTTGCAGGCTCTATAATGGAGGTTAGATGGGTATTAGCTACATGGAAGCACTAATCTAGTGGGCAAGAATGAAGTTTAAATCATCAATATCCAGGTGCTTAGCATTACTTAGGAATAAAGCAATTAGAATTCAGGGGGAATGATTATCAGATTTAACACAGAGACCATTTAGTGATAGCCACAGTATCATTACTGCTATTTAATGGTGAGGGCAACGCTAAAGAGTTAAAACGTATTGTTAGCAGGGATTAGATAGTATAGGGACACAAGTCACAATGGTCATCATTAAAGAGTCAGTAATTGCTGCAGTTACCGTACAGTGGTATCTGAGATACTGTTGCTTCACCCTATACTTTCAGTAGGAAATAACTGTGGAAGCTTTGTAGTGTCTGTTGAAAATGTATTTGATGTCAACCACCCTACAGGAAAAAGGCATGGATGATGTTATCAATGTGAATTGCTACCCCAGCTTTGTCTGCTGTTTTTGAATCATACTCCTTTGGGCTCAATAGCTATTGAGGGTTTTTACAATTCCTTTGCATTCCTCTTCTCTTTCAGCCCCACTCATCCTCTTGCCCTCAATGTACTCACAATGCTGCTGGCTACCTCACCCATCCACCTATTTTATTTTCCCATTATATTATTTGGAATTTAGTTGAAATGTACAAAAATCAACTAAACATCTGAGAACATTGCAGCAGAGAATAGGAATAATGGGTTTGTTACAGGGAAGTGTGGATTGAGAGTACCTAAAACTCAGTACAGGAGACCTGATGAATCTCATTCTCCCATATGTGACATGAAGGAAACAGACTGGAAAATTCACTAATTGTAAAGAAACGTTTTAGCTCTGCTACCTGTCTCTTTTAAGTGGCTGTTTTAAGTGGTTTTATAGCAAACTTGAGGTCTCTCTCAGAGGAATCTGAGACAAACAAGATGAATGAAGAAGGTAACAAGGGTTCAAAGAAGAATAGAGAACATGATTTAGGGCCCCAGTCATGAGAAAAATAAGTGCTGCTGAATCATATTTCTCTCTTGATAAAACACTTCAGAAACAACTGAAGTGCACATTACCCAGTGATATGCACATTCTTGGAAAAAGCATGCTGTGAATCTTAAAGACAGCCTTAGTCTTAAGTGATGAGCTCAGACTCTAATGAGCATGACTTGAAGATCCAGTATTCATTGTAGAAGCATGTTGAAGCACGAGTGTTCTGATAGGGGAAAAACACAAACTAAGAAGAATACAGAATATTAAGTTTGTTAGCAGAGGATGAAACACTATAAGTGAGACTTCTAAGCTAAAAGCTCTTCCATATGCAGCATATTGTAAAATAGGAGTGAGGCTGAAGAGTGAAAATAAGCCAGACTTGAAGTATATCCTAGGAAGTGGAACCCCCTGAAAATGACCATATATATGCTGAACAATCATAATAATAATGCTGAAAAATTATACAGCATTTGATGTCTCTAAGGTGGTGTATTTAATTTAACAGATCAATCATAAGACGGTATTTCTCATTTGAAGAAGTTCATCCTACGGGGAGAGGTTTTCTGGGAATAATATCATAGAACCAGACAATCTTTCTGACCTGAGAAAATAACTGTGCCCAGATACACATGAATATGTCTAAATTTGCTTGGTGCATCTTTCCAGAAAGGGAGTTAATATATTCTTCCAAGTGAAGTAATCTTTGCCAGTAAAGATCCAGTTACACCACTGTGTTTAATGAAATTATTAGGACCAATTTCAAGTAGTTTAGGCTCAAAATTTAGATTTTCCATCATTTAGGAAAATATTATTTTTCCCTGCCTGATGGTACAGGAAATGTTGCATGTTTAAAAATTTATTTAAAAGCATTTTGAGGGAAGTTAATAATTTCCATGCAGTGTTGAAACCCAAACAAAAGAGTGTTGGGCACAAGAACCTGAAAATGAAATTGATTATAAGCCAAGTGAAGTTGATCAGGTTAGTTTCACTTTCTAGAATAAGTAAAATGAAAAATGTGAAATGCAAATGAAGACAAAAGGAAAATTCCATTTTAATTATTACAGTTTCACTAATGTGGTGTCTTATTAATAACAGCAATGACATTCTATAAAAATGATCATTTTTTTATGTTGACATTGTCCCTTTAAGATCACAAAACAGACTGGCCTTTGCTGCTGAAAACATGTGTCAACCCTGTAAACATTTAGGCATGTGAGCAGCTATTCACATAAGCCATCCCATTAAATCAATTGGATGGCTTGTGTGTATGTGTTAGCAGGTCAGGACCAGGAAGAGGAAATGACACACAAGCAAAAAATAATAAAATCTGAAATTCAGAGCATGTACAATAATTAAGGAACAGGTTGGTAACCCCCCTGGGAGCAGACTTCAGGAAATCCCTCACACAGTTAGTAAGGCAGAAATGGTATTCTGCTGGCTGCAAATTCAGAAAAAGTTAGTTAGAAGATTACAGCCAGTGAAGAGTCTGCTCAGAGGCAGACTCCAAGAAGGTTATGCTTAAACTTTTCCCAGCATCAAATATGGATGTGTACTGTCACCCAAAGCATAGCAGAGGAGATGTTAAAAGTGGGTTAATTAGGTGTGGAGAATAGTAGTGTTGAACACATATTAGAGAACTTTTAAGGATAATGAGTTCTTTTCAGTAATGAATGATTAAACTAATCTATTTTTATTTTCACTTCGACTACTACTCTACTATGTACCATTAGGGAATGAAGATTTATGTATGCACGAATTTACTGGGCAACAAAAAAGGGATGCAGGGGCACCTTAACATATTGTTGAAGAAAAACTTAATGACAAAACTCTACTAGCCAATTTACACTGTAGGGTTAGAATGAATCGATTAACCTAAAGAGATGTGAGATGAGAGGGGCTGAGAATCCATCTCAATTGGTGATTCACTGAATATGCTACTGTATTAATGATTTAAATTTATCTCAAATAAAAGATGTTGTGTGGAAATTAGACAATCTGATAATTCAACAATCATAGACCAACTGGTCTGTACTACCAAACATTTCATCTGTACATTAATAAGGGAATAATTTAGAGAGAGATGTGAGTTTTCTGGGGCTTACTATACCTCAAGATGAGGTTGCCTAAGGCCATTTAGCTAAGTTATGTAGACAAATTATATTTATCCCTAATTTCTATAAACAAAGATTAGCCACTTTTGGACATATACATTATATACAATTAAGAGGAGACTAAATGAATATATTGCAGTATTTCAAAACTACTTCCTATTTGTTTTATATGCACTCTGTATGCCAATAACTGACAAAAACAGAAGGGCACTCAGCCAGAGAATCCATTGTAGAAGGAGATCCCTTCTGACCCAGTGAATAGAAAAACAAGATGCTTTGACCACCACTTAGGGAAGCAATGACATGGTCATCATCAATCAAAACAGAACTGTGTAGAACAGGAGCTACTGCTACAGTTCTAGTCTGACTGGCCATATTTGTGATTGAATCGGTAGCCCTCCTGGCAAAGTAAGTTGTTTACATAAATCAAAATTTAACAACCTAAGGCAACACAAATGGAGCCACTTACATGAAGGGGCCTTCCCCCTCCACTCACTAATTTTGATGTGTAATTACTTGATTTACCTGTACAATCAGGTAGGTAGAAACTAAATATTAGGGTTTGCATCCGCAATGGTGAACCTACAGTGAACTCTGCCCACAACACTGGAAACCATTAAAAAAAAAAATCAGATGCCTTCTGTCAGGGTTCAACAAATTTTTGATACAGGAAGCCTAGTTCCGTAACCTCCGTGAAACTATCTGCACGAGCAAGTGCTTCTCAGTAAGAGTAATGGAAGCAAAATGATGTGCCGTGTCAACTGCAGCACTCTGTCTAAATCACAGCAGATGTTCGGTTACATACACCGGCCCGAATGGCATGATGAGCGTGCGCAGCACCCATACAAACCATGGGGGGCTGCAGATGCTCCAAACCTCTCAGGATCTGGGCCTCAATGAAATAGTCCACAAGAACTACCTCCAGCGGGAAAGTCCTCCTCTTAACCTGCCAACTACTTTAAAATACTCTGAAGGTTTCCAGTAAAAATCTGTTTTACATTCAGTTAAACACCTTCTGAACTAGGCAACATATTCTGAGGAGTCCATTGGGTGGTTGCGTAAGGCAGGTTTTGGTGCAAATTCTACTCTGTGTTTCATAGGCTGTTATGTTCAGTTTCATTTTTGCAAGCCATTAAATATAGAATGTTAATCTACACTTTGTGTGAAGAAATCTCAACTCAAAATAACCAGAACAATAATATTAGATAAAATGAAAAGGAATACTCAATGTTCAGTTTCATTTTTGCAAGCCATTAAATATAGAATGTTAATCTACACTTTGTGTGAAGAAATCTCAACTCAAAATAACCAGAACAATAATATTAGACAAAAAAAGAAAAGGAGTACTTGTGGCACCTTAGAGACTAACCAATTTATTTGAGCATAAGCTTTCGTGAGCTCACTTCATCGGATGCAACCGATGCTTATGCTCAAATAAATTGGTTAGTCTCTAAGGTGCCACAAGTCCTCCTTTTCTTTTTGCGAATACAGACTAACACGGCTGTTACTCTGAAACCTGTCATCAGATAAAACGTTATTGCAGGCAAGGCTGCCTAAGGGCTCGTCTACACAATGCATTAGTCTGCACTAGTGGAGTGGGCACTCGTGTGTTGTGCGCTATCTGGCCCATGTGGATCCTGCTGGTGTGTACTAAAAGTTTCCTAGTGCACAGTAACGAAGTCCCGTTTCAAACTGTACTACGTTAACGTGCACTAGGGAACTTTTAGTGCATGCCAGTGGGGTCCACATGGGCCAGTTATTGCACAACACACTAGAGTGCACTATACAGGTAGTTACACAATTTAATAAAAAGTACTTCTGGAAGTTGGATTTCAATTTAATTCAACTGAATTTCAGTTTTGGGAGAACCAGTAATATTACCAATTACCTACTGAAACAATCCAATAATGGGCTGAGTGTGGCCAACAGCAGTACTTTGATGCTCACAGAGAAGTGATAGGAATAGAGTATCAATGCACAGTATGCTGTTCTTCAAAGGTGGTCGATAACTACACAATATCGTTAAAATGAATCAAAGAAGTAATTCATCCCCTTACTGACTTACTGTTTGAACTTTGTGGAAATCCAGGCAAGGAGGATGGACCATTCATTCCAGGCAGAAGAACAGGAGGAAGGCCAGGGAGTCCTGGGTAAGCTGCTGGCAAACTGATACCATGAAGTGAACTGCTGTCCATCATACCGGGCTGCTGTACTGTTAAGCCTAGCACATCTGTAGCCTTCTTTATACGATCCAATTCTTGCTGTGCCATCAGCTGTCTAACAGTTGTGGGAGCTAAATAATCTTTCTCCCGATCTAGCTGACTTCCTACAGTTTCTCTCACTTTTGAAATATGTTGTTTGGAAAAGATATGGTCTCTTATAGATAAACGTGCAGAATACTTCACCCCACATAGAGAACATTCTGGCTTTGTCCCATCAGTTCCACTCTGATTTATCATGAATGGCTTCCCTATGTTAATTTTGAATTTCTTTTCTTTTGCCCGGGCATTCTGGAACCAAACCTGGACCACCCGTTTGGGCAGACCAATCTCATTCCCTAGCATTTCACATTCTTGCATGGTTGGAGTCCGATAGTCACTAAAGCAAGCCTTGAGGACTTTAAGCTGGAGGTTACTCATTTGTGTTCGAAAACGTTTGTGACCTGGTCGATCACTATTTTTGGATTTAAAGGGGTTGTTAGCTCCAAATGGGTTGGGCGAACTTGGATCCGCAATGCTTGATGTTTCACTGCGATCGGCATTATCATCGGCATCATCAGTAATGTAAAAACTTTGGTCATGATCACCATCTTTGTCACTGAAATGTATTGATGGGCTAGTTAGGGAGAAGAGAAACTTTTCATCACAATTCTCAATTGTAGGTGTGGTTGCTGTTTTTGAAAAAGAATCATTCACAAGTGTTTTTGGCTCTTTGGGAGATGATACAGGTTTCACATCCCCTGAACTACAAGTCATGTTTTCCATTTCATTGTTTCCCTCGTCTCCTGTTGTGGCATCACTAATCGCTGTATTAATTGATGAAGTCTCATCAAAGTCAGTCTTATTTTGATCATACCCAGAGTCAGCAGGAGGGGCATTCAGATTTTCTATATCCTCACTGCACTCCGCTTTGAAAGAAGAAGGGCTTAAAAGATTCTTTGGGGACATCTCTGCAGTTTTACTAACAGGGGTTGACACTGTGGAGGCTAATTCATTTTCACTTGATAGATCAATCTTTGTTAACGACAGTGACGGATAATCAAAAAAAATATATTTTTGTGGGCTTTCTCCTCCATCTTCAGTTGATATTAATGGACTTGGAGGCAAACTATAACCTGCTTGTTTTCCTTCATTCCAGTGCCGAGAGCGAATGTGACTTTCCAAAGCTGACTTTGCTTTAAACAGTGCTCGACAAAAAGGACATCTTTTATGTGACTGGGCTGGACCTACTGCACGGAATTGTCCTTTTCTTTCTCGGGCTCGTGTGTTCTGAAACCAGACTTGTACTACTCTCTTTTTAAGTCCCACTTCACGTGCAATATGATCTAGCATCTTTCTGGTGGGATTAGAATCTAATAGGTATTTTTCATAGAGTATTTCCAGCTGCTCTGGAGTAATGGTAGTTCTCAAGCGCTTATCACGATGTTGGTCTTCCCCACTGTTTCCGCCCTCCTTTTCACTACAATTATTATCTTCTTTATCATCCAGTTTTCGTTTAAGTGAGCCAGAAACTGTAGGAGGGTGGGATGTGTGTGATGAGCTCGTCTGCTGGGGCATCTGAGCAAGAGAACTATTAAGCAATTGTCCAGTCATCAGAGGATTATTGGGGTCAAATATCATATAGGGCATATCCATGGGTCTTTCTAAAAACTGAGAGTGAAGAAATTGGTTTTGGGCTGCTAGGAAATGCATGTGCTGGTGCTCTTGCCAAAGTTCTAGAGTTGGAAAGGCAACTGTACACTGGTCACACTGGTATTGTAATAACTGAGGAGGTAGACTGTTCTGTAGAGAAGTCATTGAAATTGATATAGGACTAGAAGGAACCGGTGTGGTTTGTGACGCAGAAGGAGGTCGTCCCACCATCTGTGGTTGTTTTTGCTGTTGTGACTGAGAGACTGATGGCTGTGGATCAGAGGAAGTTATTGGTGCAGATTGTACAGATTTGGTGCCTTGTGAGGTGGTATCAATTTGCTTAGGGGTGATGTCATTTTGCTTTGGCTTTTCTGTTGCCTCAGGTTTAGGAGAACTTTTCTCAGGCTCTGGTTTGGGTGATGGCAATAAAGGAGTACTAGAACCGGAACCAGAGCTTGCTGCTGTCACAGTTGTATTTTTTGATGAGTCTGTTTGGCCAGAAACTGTGAAACTTTTATATAGCATTTGATCTGTGGCATCCATGGAATCTTCTGTTTGGCTTTCATCTTGAGCATCATCATCTTCATCTTTGTAACACTGTTTTTTCTGGTGTGTAATTAAATCAAAAATTCTGGGAAAAACTACGTTGCATTTTTTACATTGATATTGCATGTTGCTAGTTCGAATATAGCGCTCATTAGTGAGTTCCCTTTTTTCATTATCTTTAGTTTCTGCTTGATTTTCATAACTTTTGCGAGCTTTCTGTCGTGCATTTTGGAACCATACAACAATAACTCGAGTAGGTAGGTTAAGTACAGTTGAAAGTTGTTCAATTTCATCATCCTTTGGATAAGCATTTGTGTCAAAAAAATCTTGTAAGACCCTAAGCTGGTAGTCAGTAAACCTAGTTCTAGATGATCTCTTGCTGAAAGATGCATCAGATTTGTAATGCTCTAAGGAAGTGGGTTGAGGATCAATTCTGATATCTTCCAATACAGTTATGGGAGGATTACTAAAGTTGTATGGGGAATCTTTATTTCTTTGTCGTTCCTTAAAAAGTGTATTACGAAACCAGTGTTTGATAACTTTTTGGGAAAGGCCAGATTTCTCAGCCATTTCTTGAATCTGTTCTTCACTTGGAGAATTGTTAATATCAAAATAAGCCCGCAAGATTTTTAACTGATCATCTGTGATTCTTGTACGTGGACGCTTGAACTGAGAATGTCGTAGGAAGTTGGGATCTAATCCTAGCTGCTGCTGACAAAGCTGAGTAAGATCTGCGGACAAAGTATCCATTGGTGGCAGCTGGAGGGCAAGCTGAGGAGGCAACGCAGGATGTTGCACTGGCTGCATCATAATTGGAGGGAAAAGCGGAAGATCTAATGAAACAGGCAGCTGGACCTGAGGTGGAGCCGAAGGTGGTGGTGGAGGAGGCGGTGGGGGTGGCGGAGGTGGAGGCGGCGGTGGCGGGGTGGGTGGAGGAGCTTGCAAAGGAGTGGGAGTTGTATTTTGAATTTTTCCACAGCTGGCCGAAGAAGGCTGTGAAGGAGTTGGAGGCAGGGAAGGGGGAGGAGGCGGGGGAGGAGGCGGCGGAGGTGGGGTTTCTGGAGAGGATGGTGAAATTGGGTAAAGTTTGTCATAAGCCTCCCTGTATTGACGGGCAAATTTCTCTAGTGCTCCGTAAGGAAAAAACTGACCATGCACATGCTCTTGATGACTCTTCAAAATAAGAATGTTAGAAAATAGTTTGCTACATGTTCCACATTCCAGTTTGTCAGTGTTTTCACCTTCACTGGTCTTACTTTTTTTCTGTACTTTTTGTCTGTTTTCATTATACTGAATAACTAGCTCAAAGCCAAAATTCTCCAGCAAAGCTTTGGCTGCGTTTCCTCTAGCCCCAGAAGCTATTCTAGGTGGTGGAATGGTCGGTTCTGAGGATTTCTGCTTCTTCATATCTTTGTTCTCCTTTAGTCCTTCGCTTTCATTTGTCAATTCTTGCTTTGGCTTTTCTTGTTTCTCAGAAATCTCTTCTGATTCTTTATATGATGGCATATCCTTTATCAGCTGGCAGTCTGCACTTACTAGACTATTTTGCTCCTGTTTCATTAGTTTGCTACTTTGCTGCTGCTGTTTTTGTGATTGAATTTGGGGTTGTGTTGATTGATACTGTTGTGCTTGTTGCTGTAAGATTTGTAGTTGCGTTTGTCCAACATGGTGTTGAGTCTGTATCTGCTGTTTTAAATCTTCTAGCACTGATCCTGTCATCCCTGCCATTCCAGGCATACCAAATGTGGCAGAACCAGGCAAACACAGGTCTGGGCTCAGGCTAAATTCTGTCCCAGGTATGTAGAATGGAAAAAGGAACTGAGGCTGTTGAAATTGCAGCAGTGCTTCTGGTGTCATGGGAAAGTGAGGCAAAAATGCAGGGTTTAGAAACTGGGGCTGAAAGAACGCAGCTTGCTGTTGCAGTTCATGTTGTAATTGCATTTGAAGTTGTGCTGGTGACTGGGATGGATGATGTGTAGGCTGGGCAGAAATTAATTCAGAAGCTTGCTTTTTATTTAATTCTTTGGCATCTAAGTGGGTATCTTTGCTGTTAACTGCTGGTAAGCTCACAGAATCTAGCATCCCTTGGCTAGGGCTATTAACATTCCCTGCTACACTATTTCCACTAGTTATATTACCACTTGGTTCTAATTTTGCAGCCCTTGCCTTAGTCTGATGAAGCACAGATCTCATATGGATTTCCAATGTAGAACTTTGGCTATATGCAACATTACAAATGCTGCATTTGTAGGGTTTGTTATCAGTGCTGCTGTTGCTTTCTTGAGGGACAGGACTTGATGCTTCCTGCAAAACCTTTTTGAGTTTATGTAAATGAGACACTGAATTATAATGGACCAAGAGAATGTTCTTTTGAGTGAAAGATTCTTTACACACTGTACATTTATATGGGCGAGATGGATCTAGAAATTTCTCCATAGTAAAATTTGGCCCTTTTCTAAAAGGTAAGGTCCGCTTTGGTTCTGAGCCTATGTCATCTGGAATAGAGCTACTATCACTTCCTACAGGACTTGCTTTACCTTCCTGGTCCATCTCATATTCTCGTTCTATTTCCTGTTCTAGTACATGATCATCTTGTGCCATACTTTCACTTTCTGCCCAGAGTTCACCATTTACAGGTAAAGATGCATACAGCTGCTGAATTTCAGCTTCGTTGAGTTCAGGGTGGCCTGCTTCCAAGTGTTTTTTTAAAGCCTGGAATGTACGGAAGCTACGTTGACAAAGGCTACACATGGTAGCAGCCCGAATAGCATGATACTGGGAATGTATCTGAAGCTTCTGCATAGTCTTAAAAGCCAAGCTACAATGGTTACAACGATATTTATAGACATGGCGATCAGAAACAGATAGTTGCTGCTTCTTCTGCTGTTCATTCAATTGATCTGGCAGTGATTCGGTGATCTTTGTATCCTTACTGCTGCTCTTATTCCATTCTGGCATTTCAGTACATTCCTTAGGTGGCTTCTGTTCCTCAGTCTTAATTTCCATTCCAGTTTTTGCTTCATCAAGCCCAGGAGTATTTTTCTCATCCATCAGACTGTCACCTGGTTAAGGAAGACAAAGAAATATCTTTTAGACATGTAACATTTGAGCATAGGCAATATTATTATTTATCTTATCACCCTCAGTGCCTAAGGACCAACCAAAAATGGTCCCCGACAGTGCAAGGTACAAACATAGACAGTCCCTGCTCCAAATTGCTAACAAACAAATAAGAGAGACAGATAAAGAGTAGGGAAAAGGGGCAAACATACAAGCAGAGTGATCAGTGATGGTGACCAACAGAATGTTAGTGCCACAATATTTTTTGTTAATTCTTAGGGTGGGGTTCAGTTAATTAAACATAGAGATGAAGGAGGGGAGGAGAAAGCAGATAGAAGGGATGCTGAGGGGGACAGGGCACGGAGAGAAGAAAGTATTAAGGGTGGGGGTGGGGGCTGAGGTGAAAAGACTGAGCAGGGGCTTGGAGCAGACAGCCTATTAGCACAGGGGAGAGTGTGTCTGGAGTAAAAATTGAAATATGGGCTGGATCCTAAGGACCCATTCATCTGACATTCCTATTGGCTCTAGTGAGAGTTACAGATAGCTCATTATCTTTTAGATCACGTCCTATATATTTTTAAAACAGCAAGGGGCTTATTTTCAAAATGGCCACATACAGCTGCATGCCTAATTTCTACATTCAAATGACCACAGGTGTATACTAGCTCAAATCAAGTATTTGTACAATGACATGGACAACATGCATCCAGTTAGATATGTGCCTATGCAAAGAGCCAAGTTCATTGCTAAGCTGTGGCATTTACAGAGGCCCATCTTTGAAAATCATGCCCTAGATCAGTGGTTCTCAAAGCCGGTCTGCTGTTTGTTCAGGGAAAGCCCCTGGCGCGCTGGACCGGTTTGTTTACCTGCCGCGTCTGCAAGTTCAGCCAATCGCGGCTCCCACTGGCCGCGGTTCGCCGCTCCAGGCCAATGGGGGCTGCAGGAAGGGTGGCCAGCATGTCCCTTGGCCCGCGCCGCTTCCTGCAGCCCCCATTGGCCTGGAGCGGCGAACCGCAGCCAGTGGGAGCCGCGATCGGCTGAACCTGTGGACGCGGCAGGTAAACAAACCGGTCCGGCGCGCCAGGGGCTTTTCCTGAACAAGAGGCGGAGCGGCTTTGGGAACCACTGCCCTAGATGACAGCTTACTATTTTTCTCCTGTTACCTCTTGTTAATGTTTGTAACCAAAAAAAGTAGTACTGTACCAAGGAAGAATCAAGTGGTTTGCTCCAAGAATCACTCATTTAGATTCTCCATGTCTGGTCTTTCGTTTGCATACCTGAATATTTCCCAGATCCTTCTGCTGTAATGGTAGCAGGTGTGTCACGCTCGGATTTCTCTGAAGGAACTGCAGGCAAAAGTATACTATTGGGCATCATCATATCTGGTACAGGAACCTTTAAAAAAGCAAGGAGACAATATTACATTCAAAGAAGAAAAAACACTGTATATCAGTGCATCACACATGGTTCAAAGCTTGTCACACAGCAAAATCCAAGGGCTTGATTCAGTCCTGGATTACAGGCCCGTGATCTTGGGCAAGTAACAGTCCCTCCATGCCTCAGTTTCCCACCTGTAAAATGGGATTACAGACCTAACCCCATACATTAAAGACTGTGAGGTGCTCTGACACTATGGGACTAAGGGCCATATAAATACCCAGATAGGGGCTGAATTTTCTGTTTCGTGTCCGCTCAAGAATGAACCACTTGGAATGTTTGCCCAAAAATCTCTTGTGATACATGAGAGTGAAAAGAATATATACTTTGCCCACTGAGAAAAATAATTCTAACCACATTCAAATCTGAAATTTTAAATTTAGCATGGGCAGAGTCTGCTCAGAGAACTAATGCCTTTGGTTGTGGTGGGGACAGGGTGGAATGAAAAATAGTGATTGCAAACATCCCATATCTGAGATTTTTAGGAAACGTCCATTTCCTTTGTGATCAGGGAGATCAGATGTGGACAGGGCATGTTACTCTTAGATGGTTACTGAGGCAATTTATATGAGAAAGATTAAGTTTTCCAATAACACCCCCATCACTAAAATTCTCTGCAAAAACCCAGAAACAAAACAACCCCCCTCCTAAACTTATCCTAACATCAAAACAGGAGAAAATCATTGATATGGGGAGAAAAAAATAAATCCTGCAAGTAGAGGATTGCTCCACAGTTTCTTCAGCCTCTTATGATAAAATCTTATAATGTTCAGTGTATTTAAAAAAAATAAAGTTTTAATCTTTTTCCAGGATGAAGATACTGTTGTGACAGTGTAAACAGATGTTTTACTGACTTCTAAACCTAGCTTTTCAGAAACTGGTCTCCAGCCAACCTATGGGAACAGCAAAGGCAGGATCTCACTCCTTCCCCATCCTATTCACCTAAATTAACTGAAGCCACATTGCCTTGTGGTAGCTATATACTTTTTTTCCTGGGAATCTCTATGTATCTGGAATTGAGACGATATGCATCCCTAACTATGGCCCCCAACTACATCCTGTCTCTGTCCCCTCCCCAGTGAGGACCCTGGACCTACACCGCATCCTCCACAGGATCTGAGTAGAGAAGGGTATGGTGTGAAGGAGGTGCCTGGTCCTGGAACTTTGTGGGATGAGGGAGGAATCCCCTCCACCCATGTATCTTGTGCCGCTGTAAGGTACGCAGTGTACACATAGCCTAAATGCTAAAAAACACAGCAATGTAGTTGGCCTCATTAAAGATCACAAAATTAAACAAAAATAAAAATTTGAGAAATGCAAAAGTTACATTTCCAGCCTACATAGTATTTCCTATGTGATGGGCCAAATATTCTGGTTTGGCAGAACTGTACTTAGTACAGAACTAGGGCCAGCTGGGGATCAGCTGAGCTCCTAGTACAATGTAGAGAGGTCTCAGAAGCTCTCCATCCCGTCCTCCTTTTCCCTGGTCACACATAGGAATCAGGAGCAGGGTGATATAGAGCTGCCACACTGCTCTATGGGTAAAGAAATCACTGGGTAGAAAGAGGGCTCCTCAGGGGGCTGAATCTGTGGGCTTTAGAGAAGCTTTCCTCAGAGAAGAGGCAAAAAACAGCCAGAAAAGACAAAAGAACTGGGGCCTGTGTTTTCTGGTTAAAGCTATGATCCAACAACTATTAATATCATATAACACATGCCAAAATGACATGGTATATCATAGTATACGTTGTTTTTATATTTCTAGCTGAACTTGAGGAATTCATTTGAATATTATACGTTATGAAATATGTTCAGAAAAACTCATAATACCAATTAACACTAATAAAAATAATACTTTGCAGTAGTACTTTTTGCCCAGGGAACTCCTACTATTTTAGAAACAACAAGTTAATGTTCACAATACCCTTGGGGGATAGATATGAATACACCCAATTTAGAGTTGTACAGAAAGGTGAGTGGCCTGATTTTTCAAAGTTGACTTAAATGTAAACTACAGGGTCTCAGCATCTTTGAAAATCTAGCTTCAGTGACTTGCCCTAGGGACATAAATTACTGATACAACTCGGGGGGAAAGGTGGGTGAGGTAATATCTTTTATTGGACTAACTTCTTTTGGCTAGAGAGACAAACTCTTGAGCTTACACAGAGCTTTTCTTCAGGCCACAGAGCTAGGAACAGAATCCAAAAGTCCTGATTCTCAGTCCCCAGCTCTGGCTACCAGAATACTAGGTCACAACAAATTCATTGTCTACATGTCTGAGTATGTTCCTGTCGAATATGTACCAGTATTTTGAATACTTACGGTCATAAGCAGTTTCTCCACACAGTCAGGAGACACACTGTGTAAATGGGTCAAATGAAGTTGGAGATGCATTTTGTTGCTGAGGACATCCTGGCAGAGGGGACAGCAGATAACGGGCTGCATTGAATGCTGTGACAGGACATGCATCTGGATACGATTTGGGTCCCTACTACTGTAGTTACAATAAGGACATTGATAGAACTGAAAAACAGCAAATGAAGATGCAGGGTATTAGTGTGTTTTGAATGACATGATAGCATTGCTATTTCAATAGCATTTCATCTCTGTTTTACTTTTGAACTACCTGAGAGAGTTCTATGAGGCAATGGAATTGTTACATTTTCTTTTACCTGTTCATGTCCAAATTTATTGTCCTCAAGAGGTTTTGTTTTTTTAGGTGCACCATCCTCTTCTTTTGCCTGAAGTAGCTGTTGTGTCCCTACCGCAGTGTTCACTTTTGGCTCCTTCTCTGGTGTGATTATTCCTGTTCCAAAAACATAATTTTTTAAAAAAACCATGTTTTAAACTTAGAAGTGTTATGCTATAGAAAAAGCTGTGATTATGATGCCTTATAATCTCCCACATGGTTATGCTAAATATATAAAAGAATGTATTTAAATAAAACAATTTGAAACCTGGCAAATACAAAGGTGAAAACACACCTTTATCCTTGATACAGACTCTAGAAATAAATTTTAAAATGGACTCTTCTGTCTTGTTTAGATAACCTTAGGTTGCTTTGAAAGATTAATCAATAACATGCTCTCTTCAGCATCTCAGTCTGAAATTCTCTGTTACAGTAAACCAAATCAACTTTCACTCAGAAATCCTTGTTTTCCAAAATAGATAATTTTCTAACATTTAATTACCTTCTACCATTTCTAAAATGTTTGGGCAGTGAAATTATTGTGCTGCTTTGATAAGCCCTGCTTGGTTATAGTTCTGAAGCTAAATATAGTGAGCCTCTAAAAAATACAAAAAAAACCCCAAAACCAAACATAAAAACCTAAACCCACCCAAACAAACAAAAAACCCCCCCAATTCCAGACAACCTCCCAAAACCTACAACTCCATGCACGCATTGTGGAAAACAGGATTTGAGCTAACTAAATACTAATTATATGCAAAAATCAGTAATTTTGTGTTGCTTTAAAGGTTTACATTATGAAGTTCTATACTGTGGTATTGTAATCAAACCAAGAATATAATTATTTTCTATAGATAGTTCTACTACTAAGTATTAAATACTATATTTAATATTATGCCTGAACTAGCTGTATAACGTGGCCCAGTCGTGCACACATCAAAGAAAAGAGTGCAATTCTAATTTCCCAGTCCATCAGAAAATTCTTTCCAGCATCAATTTGCCAGATAATCTCTTTTGCTAGGCTGGATATTACAACAGCATTGGGTAGGCATGTCACATACATCTCATGACAAACACAAAACCTCATTTACCAACCATTCCAATCTCATCATAGTGCGGCATCATCTGACCCTTTTTCTGCTGTTTATTATGAGTATTTCTAATTTTAACTTTCAATTTTCACCATCTTCCAGTCAATTTGCAACTAAATTATTTCCAGGGTGAGGACACTATCACTGGACAACTGGGTGCAAATACATCTTGAAATGCAATGAAGCTCAACCATTGATTGCTATCAGACCCAACGTAAATATATAGTCCAGGGGTAATCTGATTGTATGCTGTGCATGAAGATTTATCTTGATTTTTTTTCAATCCACATAAGGTTCATATAAATGAACAAATTGCACCTCATTGCACAATAACCTAGTTTTAATTTAAAAATAAGGTCATGGATGTTATGGAAACAAGGTAAAGATGAACAAAGAAAATGCTTGTATTTTTCTCTGGAAAAAAACAAGAACTTTTTTCTCTTATTACATAGGCAATATAGTATTTGATATAAACAAGGCAACATTAAAAAAGAAGTAAAATAAAAGGACAGCTTTCAAGGTAAACAGAAAAAAACGAACAGACCCTGAGAACAATAATAAATAGTTGAATGCTGAATCATACAGAGGTATTTTCCTCAGGGCATTTTTTTTAAACACACAAATATATTTTATTACATATACATTAATGGTCACTTCCCCACACATTACATATGTATTTGTTTCCTTATGTAATTACTTAGTTTCATGTAATTTAGACTAGTGATTCCGACACATTCCTGCTAAAATTTAAGTTTACGCCTGACATATTTTTCTACCTTTAATGACTAATTTGTCAACAAGCTTAGTTTCTGGAACTCCATCAAATTTCCACACTGTTCAGGACTGATCCGCTAGGCCTTACTTAGGCTAGTGTGTAGGGCCCAGCTTTTTAAAGGTAAGTAGGCATTGCTGCACTCAGCATTGAAATGCCTAGCTGATTTAGGAGGCCAAGTTTCATTTTCAAAAGGGATTTAGGCATTGAGGAGCCAAAATCCTATTGATGGTCAATGGCATTTAGGTTCCTAAGTGCCTAACTCCCTTTTGAAAATGAGATTTCACCTCCTAAATCAGTTAGGTATTGCAATGCTGAGCGCAGCAAGGCCTATATACTTTAAAGACCTGGGTTTAAGAATTTTGTTTGATTAAGGGCTGCAGGATTGGGCCTTTGATGCCTAAAGGCATAATGTACATGACGACATCATGTGCTATCATTATATTACTCAGTTTAGTTTCCGATACTCCCTAGCCTATCAGACTATATGTGGGAGTACAGCATTATTATTTAAATACCTTAAATATGAGAATTATGGGAAATAAAAAAGTGACACACTCTATTAACAGAGAAAGGTTACTTTTCAAGTCTTCGAAAGATGGGTTCAAATTATTAACCTCTCTTCATTTCCAACTGTCAAAAATGTCTTACAGTTGACTACTGTCTCTTATCTACATCATGTGTCACTTTAAAAGTCCCATTTTAAAGATAATGGACAGATTCTCAGCTGGTGTAGATTGGTATTACTATAGGGCATGGCTGATTTACACCTGCTGAGGATCTGGCCCAAAATAAATAAATAAAAAGCGTATTTTTTTCCATATCATGCTATATTCATGTAGCACTTTGTTACAGGAATTTTGCGGGCAAACTCTGCTTCCAGTTATATTGGTGCAAATGGATTAATATTGGTATGAACTGTTGGTGGAATTTAGCTGTGAGCAATAGAGAGAGAGAATGCATAGTGTGTTTACATTAAGCAACATTTTCTACCACTGGATATGATAACAATTTCAAGGGACCAATAACAATCATAAAACTCATATTTCTTGTTTCTATAGTTACAAGTATTGGTTTTGTAAATTTTCTTTTGTGTTTAATGTAAACCAATCCTTATAAAACACTGCATTTTGGAGTAATAAATACATAACAAAGAACAGTCCCTTTACTATGTTTACTATGCTAATTATATAAAATGTTAAAGCTAACCAAGGCAATTGGGGGGGAGGGGGTCTGGATTCATTCAACCATAAACGTTGCTGCTTTTTAAATGACCAAAGTTACATCTGGCATCAAGTAAAATAACAGTCTCAAATTTTTATGGTAAGCATTAGAAACCTAGGGCCTGATTCTTCACTGCTTTGCTCCTTGTGTAGTCATTTGCACCTGTGCAGAGTGAGTGGCAAACACTACCAGGTTAAATTAGTAGTGTTTCACACTATGCACCCACTTTTCACAAGTATAAATGAGTATGCAAGGGGCAAAGCGCTAGAGATTCAGCTCCTTTTAGTTCAACTGATACCCGTGAAGTGCCCTAACACCTGATTCAGTATATACTATATACTTTCACTGGTGAATTCACTATTTTGACAAGTTCCCTGTGGAGTGACAGAGCAAAGACATGGGCTTATAGAATTGGCACTGAAAAAAAATAGCAATTGAACAGTATTAAAGGGTCCTGATGTATGCAATTTTTGGTCATTTGTATAGCTGGATATTCCACTGGCATTGTATTCTTAATATGCAATTTTAGAAAAGGACTAAATCCTGTCATTCTTTGTGTTTTAAATATACAGTTTTTGTTGTAGAGACATGCTATTTGTTGTTTTCTGGTTAACTGTGAAACACAGCCATAATTCATTTTATAATGTAAAATGCACAGCATTAGTTTAGTTGAATAATGTAATTTCAATGCATTTAGCTCAAAAACTAAGCTTAATTATAAATAAGCACTATGAAATAGACTAGTCAATGATTACCTGTCAGTTACGGAATTATTTAATTCATGTAAGATTGCTAGTACAAAAATGACATAATTCACTGCAATTCAAATGCAATCACCTACTTAATAATTCTAAAACCCTAAAATAAAAACAAGGGTCATAAAAAGGTTTATGTTAATAACAAGTGGGGAAAGCCTAATAAAACATGTGTCCTAAAGAAATAAAATTCTGAAAAACCTTTGAACAAAAATACTGGTTTGTTATTTATGAATCAATGTATTTCATAAAGATCGCATAACTTAAGACTTGTGATATATCAGATGATGTTACTCAACTTCAAAATAATTCTAAAATTAAAATTACTGGTACAGCATTCTAATTAGAGTAGAATGAAAGGGTAATTTTCACTGCAATAATGAAGGTTAATTTCCATCCTTCCTCATGTTTACTACCTTATTAAAAAGTGTTCCCCTTAGCCATGGCAGAGACATATTATATTTTCAATGCAAATGTATTAATCTGGATAAATTCCATATTAATTCTTGCATTGCATAGAGCTGTAATTTGGATGATAATTAATCTAAAGTGGCACTAGATTTAAATGACAATATAAAGGAGGCATTAGTAGGCTTTTCTGTTCTGAATGAATATTCAACAAATATAACTTTCATATTGCCAAGTCTCATTCTGAAAGCTCCAGTCCTTGAGATAAGGTAAGCAATACAGCACAACATCTTACACAAACACACTGTTACTAAATAACATGTTAATCCTTTCTCCTCTAATAGATTCCATACTAAAGAGGGGTCACACCGCTTTCCTGTCTAACTTGTTAAGATTGTGATTAATTTATTGGTTTTCCTGAGATTTCTCTTGGCAAGACTTGCAACACTCAATTCATGAGAAAGCCCAAATTAACATTCAATTATATATAAGCAGTTATTCAGTCATTAGAAATACTTGTCAGATGAGTTGAGAATTAAGACCCTGGCATGAGTGCTACATAAGCAGAATTAATTTAGAAAATTAAACAAAAGTTTTTAAAAGGTCAATTTAAGAGTTTACAGTATAAATTGTTTTCTGTGGACGCTGAAAAGCATGAGGACATTTGTTTTTATACGGCTCATACTGCAGAGATACCTTTGTAATTACTGACACTGGGGTGCACCACAATTATGCCATTTTTGTTGTACTGCACCCAGCAGGCATCTGGGCATAGGTTTGCCCAATTAAAGTTGGCTCTTATGACAGACTAATCCTAGTGGAATCTTGAGAATTCCCCCACACTATTTCTTCCAGAGTCCATTTTCGCCGCTGGACCTTTAATACCTTCCTCCTGCCTCCACAAGTATGAATGAGTTTGCTTTACAAAAAGTGGGCAGAAAAGTCCTCTGAAGTGGATTCCGGTGCCCCCTAGGTAGAGCAAATGATAGGAAATGTGGCTGTCTCCTTTCCCTTGAAGCATTTTTAGGATGACCCACTGATTAGACAACGCGGAAAAGACCCAAGTCAGCTTAGGAGCATGGCTTTACTGTGCTGCAGACAGCTCTTTCCAAGTCAAAGAGCCAGCCAAGGGGGATATATATTTTAAACCACAACATAGTTTCTTCTTCAACATCATCTTTGTCATCAGCAGCCTTTTTGCAATCTCTTGATCTCAAAAATAAAACAACTGAAGTGCAGCTGAGGTCTAAACTGTAACAGATATTGACCTCAACATGTCAACAAGCAAACTTAAACTAAGCTTTAATCCCTAAAGCAGTCTTCTGAATTAATTTGATATAGAAAGGGCCATCAATAAATATTTTGAATAAATCCAAAATTTTTAATATGTAGAGTGAATTACAAATATGGGCTAATTCGGGTTTAAGTAAATGTGCACATAAAATGATATTTTCTGTACAACTAAATGTCGTTATGGAGAATACAAGTTCCTTTATATGCTGCTGTCATTGGGATACAGGGAAAAGATATATGACTACCTGAAACTAATAGGCTTCAACCTGTTTCAGCATTTCTTCTGCTTCAATGAATCCAACATAATGTAACTAGGTATAGCGTGCAGCAAAAGTAGCCAATGTAATATTCATTGCGACCATAGATTTCCATCTCATACATAAAAAACATGGATGAAGTCACATATTTGCCAAATCAAATACAGAAAAAGCCTTGGGTTTCTACACCAGATGCTGGTCCTGGGTTTGTTTGTGCACAAGTAAATGTCATGACATAGGGGTTTTGTTTTCAAAGACAGTAGCTTTCATTACTGGGATTTGTCTATTCCAGGAGATCAAAATTACCTAACTCATAATCCATTTTCAATGATATTTCCTCTTTCTTAGGCTGAATCATCTGTAATCTTTTTTGCTGGATTTTGGGGTTTTTTTTCTAAATGCCTCAAATAAATGCCCAAGAAGAGGGCAGATTCTTGACTGTAAGTGGTCAGATGGCAAGAATGAAAACAAAAACCCAACTTCAACAACAATAATAATAACCCCACTCCTCACATTCTTAGGGTTACAAGAGGGACCAAATTTGATTGCAGAGAAAAAAGAATTCAAGTGGTATCTAATCCTATGCTTATGAAAAATTAATATGCCATCAGAGGAATCACAAGTACAGCTAAGATTAATGAAAGGCGCTTAAAAAATTACAAGCACACAAACTGATTTGATTAAAAAATAATCTCACTGGTCGTCCTGTAATATTCTTCAACTTATCCGCATCTATCCTGTCAGATGGTTATGATTAAAAATAGGTCAATGGGAGGCTACTGATAGAAATCACATGCAAAATGCACATGCAATGAATAGTAGTGGGAATGTCCAGACAGTTTAAAATGAAAGAGCATTTAATAGGATAAAAGGGGGGGGGGGGAAGGAAAGGGAGGACAACATTCTAGCATCTTACCAGAGTCTTTACTAGCTTTTTTGCCTTCACTAGTGTCTCTCTCACTTGTGTCTTTATCATCAGCAACAGCCACTGATGTACTTTTAGCAGACCCTTCTGTATCTTCACCTTGTTCTTCTGTGGATAAGCACAGAGAAGAGCTAACTTAGTGACCAGTTAACATCAATTAAAAACACAGCCTTTAGTAAGAACAGAATCAAAGGAAAGGGGAGGGGAGAATGAAGGGGGAGAAAAAGAATGGCACTTCCAAGTGATCTGATATGAATTATGAAAAATTTGCAATATTTCAGATTCTATCCAGAAATTACAAACATGACTTTATCAGACCATACAGTGTTCACCAGTATGACAGATCTAAAGCTTCTCATTTGGTTCTCATTGGCTACAAGTGCTTTGTATAAAAATACACACACACACAGTATTGAACAAAAAAAACCCCTCACATATAAAATGAATTTTAAAGTCAAAAAAGGAGAAAGAAACTCAAAAATAAATCCTATTAGTGTAGCAGTATCTGGCTAATTGCAGTATGTAAGTACTATATTAGGTATAAACCTTTGGCTTTGTTGGAGAACTCTCAGATTTTGTCTCCAGGGGGAGCTATACAGGGTAAATGATACAACATAGTATATTGCTCTTAAGGAATCAGTATTACCCACACCTCACTTACGTGTTCACACAAGCTAGATTACATGGAAATCTTCACAGTAACTCAACCCTATTTAATTATTCTGCAAATCTTGGCTATGCTGCTACTGGTGGATTAATCTGTTTATGCAATTAGCTTCTATGCTGGGGCTGTGTAGCACTAATCCGTGAAAGGCCCACTGTTCCTTTTCATTCTGTGATCATTTGTCTCTCACTGTGCTGATGTCACATTTTAATGAATTTTTAGCAATCTGAGCAATGCCAGATAACCAGACTTGCAACTCCCTACAGCACGGCATGCTGCTTTCATTGCAGCACCAAAAAATAATAATAATATTTCCCAGTTTAGGTAGGAATTATATAAATTAGGAGGTGAAGGTAAAATAGGATTTGAAGCACCAGGCTGCTCAATTTCATAAAATCTTTAATGACCATATAAATTAACCCTGGAAAGGCAAAAGGTCACAGACACACATTTGCATACACTCTTCTATTCACTTTTGATAAGCAGAGCTTTTATGCAGGGAACATGATACAATTAACCCTTCAGGAACCACACAAAATGCAGCTACCGACATTTTAAGTGTCAAGCATTAACTGAAAATTACACACTGCATAAAATTTTCATTGTAAATGCTAGAGTGATTGAAAGGGGAAATAGTGGCCCTCTCCGCACCCCATGTTTTATTAATAACATTCTGACAAGAGAATGAAATATCCTCTGTCATATGTAGCAGCTGAGCACAAAAAAAATTGCTACTTAGTGGCTTACTTGCCAGCCAAGCACTGAAACTGTACATCTAGGCAAACAACCCTGAGAAAGACAGTAGCGTGCTTATCAGATTCAAAACTCTACACAAAACCTTTTGTAAACTAGAAAGGAAAGAATTCAGCTGCAACTTTGAATTAAAGAAAAAAAAATCAAAGCAATGTGTTTGGCACGAACTTGCCAGTGTTTCTGCCTCAGAGGGCTCAACATCAATGTCCATTTTTTAAAACAATGCTGAAAGAAAGGCAGTCACATCTTTTTAAAATAAATGTATATATAAAAATTACCATCAAAATGGAAACACACTTCTTGCTGCTTTAGCCTCTTCCCTCCCCCCACCTCCTCTCTCAGTGATGATTGCTAATCAAACATGGTAGGCATCTTAGTCACAGTTGGAAGTGAAGCTGTATTTGTAAGGGTGGCAGGGGAGCACAGTTTTGGATGCTGTGAGTCTGTGATCATGACTGGATTGGGCTGTGTTAATGCCAAGTGCACACACATGAGGCTCATATCCAGTGTCAGGCCCCATGGCCTAAAACAGCCTATTGCAATTCCTTTTCGACTCATCCTTGGGAATGAATGCACTGGTTCTTTTAGTAGATTTACTGGCCCATTCCCCCTGGGCTGGAAAATGAAGTGTCAAAGTGCTACTGAGTGTCCTTATCTTGAGGGGACATAAAATTGTACGGGCTATCGTGGCACACATTAATAAACCATTGTGTGTGTGTCAGGAAAAGAGCGAGAAAATTATGAAGGTACTAAAAGAAAAGCTACAGTATCATCTGGGTCTCATCAGACAATTTTTGCAGGGTGCTCTCCTGTTTTTCTGGTATGTGTTTTAAGTGTGAGAGAAATTCCCAGACATGTTCTCCTATACATCATCGTGGTGTCTGACCTCAGCCTGACCCTGGCAACAGTTTGAGAAATCTGAATGTGAACAAAGACTCTGTGTCAGCAGCAGAGAGAGATTGTGGGATAGACTTTCCCCATCAACTTAATCGCAAACAGCAGTTCTGAGGCCATAACTTTACATGGCTCCACCAAGCCACAAACACATAACCTTTAGAGGTGAAACTGCCCCCCCTCCACCCCACCTCCCTTCTGTGATTTTTCTCAGTCCTCTGGTACCCCCTTTGATGTAGCAAGGCAATTAGCTCTAATGTTCAAGTACTGCAGACCTGTTTTATGGTTTGGAAGGTGAGAGCTGTTTATTACAGGTAGGCTCCTGGGGGCCATAAAGGCTTTGCAAATTTTTAATCATGCAAAAAACTAATCAAAATGTAACTTATACACACCATAAAAATTAATATCATTATTATGCACAGTATAAACTGGCTGCCTCAGCTTTCAAAGGCACTCATTTTTAGAACATACATTTGGCATTCATTTCAGAAATATGTATGGTGTTCATTTCAGAAAGAAATTTCATAGATAAAAAATGATAATGTAGTTGCTCATAGATTCCTCAGAAATAGTAGCAACTGTGTCTATGACTGCTGCAAGTTCAAACTGTCACCAGGTTCATCAAAGGAATAAGATGAAAATACAGTTGTTCTACTTAAAAGAAATTGTTAAAATTAGGAAAGGGGATAAATATTGAATAATCCTTCTGATAATTATTGAATTTCATTAGAGAGTAACTGTTAGGCATAAATACCAAATTATGCTATCATGCACGTCTGTGCTGACTTTCTACAAATATAAACTTTAGCATATTTTATTAGTTATTAATTAATTATTAATTACTATTTCATATTTTAACCAAGATGGATAACATTCAGTTCTTAAAATGTGATGGCTCCAGCTCAGAATAACAAATGCAGCAAAATGCAATATGATGGCACTTCAGATTTAAGAGCAAGTCCTAACACTCCGTTTTAAATTTACAAGAATTCTACCTATATGTGTTTACAAATGTCAGCTTTGAAAATAAACAGATCATAGGATTCAAATGGTTTTAATAACACTTACTATGGTAATATGATATCTTTTGTCACACCTGGTTTTATTTTATCTAGACATTGAAAACTCCCTTTGATGTTGGGTCTCTTGAGTTTAACTATTATCAACTTTTTTCCTACAACTGATTTAGAACCAAATACAAAAAACAATTCTAGTGCAGTCTGCAGAATGCACAGTTAGAATCACATTAAAGATGAAAAATGAAAAAGGCTTCAAAAGCAACATTAACTAGCTAATACTGCACTCCGTGTTTTATTATATACCTTCTATGTCCTATACAGCAATAGATTAAGTTACAGATTTAGGTCCCAATCCTGCAATGGGATTTGTGTGGGCAGATCCATATGACCACACACCATCCCAATGAAGTCAATGCAATTTTGTGTACGCATAAGGTTCTGCCTACGTAGATCCACTTGCATGATCGAGGCCTTAACCAGACAAAGCTGAATACTACATATGCATAATAAAACTGCACAGATATTGCTATTCAGGCCTTGGCATTGCATGGCTTGTTGGAGATGGTAACTGGAGGAACAAATGGGCTAAGAGTTCCCTCGATCCACAGCAGCACAATGACACCGTTAAGGATGGGGCTGGAGACCCAGCTGGCCTCCATAGTTGGAGCAGGTCAGGGTGTGGCTGACACAATCTTCTCTCCTGTGATTTGAGGATGCCATTCTGACCAGGTATTCAGGTCACTTCCTTTTTTCCCCTATTAGTCAACAGAAGGAGCCTCCTCTATGGATCAGCAGAGTGAGTTTCCTGTCTCCAATCCTGGCCAGTGGTATAGCTTTCAAGCTGTTGGGAGCTTTCTTTTACTCCATCCATCCACCCACCAACCAACAGCTAAAGGCTCCTCTTCAAGCCTTGGCTCCTCTATTTCTTCTGGGTCAATTGTGAGTGATTTACTAAGAATGGGTGACTGAATGGTTGTGGATGAGAAATTCCGGGAAGGGGGCAAGATGAAGAAAGTTGTTTGTGGTTGAGTGGGATGATGGGTGACATAAGTGCATTAAATATGATGCTGAGCAAGGGATAAATTAATCTGGCTTTGAGAAGAAGACAAGTTTATGGGGTAGTTTAGACATTTATTAGGGGTCAGATATTTAATATGCTTAACACCCAAAACTTCAATAGAAATCAAAGGGTGTTGTTGGTGCTCAGCACCTCTGAATAGCAGGTCCAAGTGGGAGAAAACACAAATTAACAGGGGTTTGGAAAGAGGAAGAAGTTAAAGGGATGGAAAGAAAAGAGAGAGAGAGAGAGAATAGGAGGTGGGGGAGAGAGAAGAAAGGACAGTATATAATGCAGGGAAAGAGAAGTGAGGTGAAAGAAGGGAAAACAACCATGGATAAAGAGGAAAAATAAGTATGGTATCTAAGAGAAATGAAATGTAAGTTAAGGAAGAGGTTTTTGTTTTGTTTTGGCATCTAGGTTACAGTAATTGCATTAATTTAGCAGATATTTCCAAAACAATTAACTAGGAGACAAGTTCCCCTGACTCTCTTACTGCAATTTTATTCATACAAACATCCTCACAAATATGTGTATTTCCTGGGATCCTTAAACCTCCCAAATTGGGACTAGGATGGTTAGCTTTTTGGGTCAATGAGCTGGTTCAAGATTTTAGCTGTATTTTATATAGCGGTTGTTCTCCTTTGTTTTCAAGTACATTGTTTATAATTTCCTCATCTTGGACCTCGGATGGAAAATGCAGAGAAACAATCAACTTACA